TCTTCTCTACTGCTGATGGGTTGAGGATCGATCCCCTACTCTTTTTTGTGTTCGTTTCTGGTTTTTTCCCTGATCCCCCTCTCCCCCTGCTAATGATAGATGTTAACCTCTTTTTTTTCAGTTTTCAGTCGTTCACCCCCTCTTTTCTGCGTGTCCCACGTTTCTGGTAGTTAATTGAAAAAATGATACTTTACGGTTTTCTTGACTACTCAACATATCTCTCTCTATTGCTAACGGTTCCCCTCACGTTTTGGTGCTACCTTGGTTATTATATTTGTTTGCAGGGGTTCCTTTCATTTTCAGTTGGCAAACGTTCATGCAGAGGCTGGGAAACATTGTTGCTGGAAGCTGAGCTCGGTTCTTAGTTGTTGGGCTGCCAATTTGGCTTTGATCTCCCACCAATTGAGCACTTTGAGTTGGACCAGACAAATCGAGCATCTACATCTTGCTTGGATTGCCGACCCTTATTCTAGCCCTGGCCCTTTTGTTAATATTGTCCGGGAAATAGTTGAGATTGTTAAGGATAGAGCGGTTATTTGTCGACATGTTAGTCGGGGCACGAATGCTAGGGCGGATGATTTGGCTAAGAAAGGAATTGGTTAGGACGTCTAGATTTGGTCTAGATAAGAACACTTGGGTGTTATTCAGGTTTCCTATCTCTTGGGGTTTTGGGTTTCAGTGTTGTAATTATGTTTTTGTTGGTGTTTTGTATTCGCCTAAATTTAATAAAATTCCGAGGTACTCTTTTCCTCCTTCCGATACTTTTTGGTACTCCCCGCTGAGTGCCGAGAAGCATGAAGGGGTTTTTTAATGAGACCTCCAACTCTTATAAAAAAAAGACTTTCTTTATTACAGTTCCCTGACCTAATTTTCGCAATGGCCTTCCCCTGCATCTCGTGTCCTTGAATTGTGATACAATTGCTGGATTTAGAGGTGCTATGTGGATAGATTCAAGGCTCTAGGTGTCAGCTGTCATCCCTGTTGGCTTGAACATATTATTGGTCGAACCTTAGCTAAAATATCTTTCTTTTGACAAATCGTCGATTCATATCCTTATAATTGAAACTAGTAGTTGCCTATTTTGCTTGGTCATGTTCAAAGGTTCTTTCTCAATATTAAAATATGTTGGGAGTTGTAGATCTTACACTAAAATAATGTATCTGTAACATTTGGATGATTCATTTTAGGTTCATAGAACAATGTAGTTTCCAGTCATGCTGATGCAGACCTACGGAAATTATATATTGATTTTGCAATTAGTACCACATCATGTCATGTTTTTTGTCCGATCAATTTTTGATAAATGATACATGTATAGTTGAGGGTTCAATCTCCAACATTCCTCCTAGTATATCTTTCAATTTCAGGCTGAACAAAGACATCCTGTACAGTTTATCAATTTCTCTAACTTTCAATAGCAAAAATTACCTTCCTATTATTTGTTCAATAAATAAACAATGAATAGAAGTTAGAGTGCAAACTGCAAATACTAAGGGAGAAATATATGAGAATAACTTCTTCAGAAATTGAGCTTTCATGGTGAAAAATAATAAAAACTTTGAAAAGAGAAGAAATATGAGGGTTTCTGCCCTATGATGATGAAAGGTAAAGGGAAGTGAGGAGCACAAACTCTTTCCAATATTACAAAGGGAAAATTGTAAGATGGGCATAGTTGCTTGCGCGTGTAACATCTGATTGATGCTAGTCTTGTAGGTTCCACCTCAAGCTATGGTTGCCATCCATGTGATCTTCTGTTTTATATCTTTCTTGCACAAAAGAATTAGACATATGATAAAGTATTTGCATTTATATGTAATTTGCTAGTGTTCTCCTTTAATCCAATGCTGAGATGAGTTCTAACTGTTTGAAATAGGTCCACAAAATGACAAAAGCTCTACAACGGTTTGGCGTGAAAAGAGCATTAGTAGCGCACTCGGAGGGTTTAGATGAAATGAGTCCCCTCGGTAAGCTTCATTCCTCACTCCTCTCCCTTGGCTTTATCATCATATCATGTTGTCTTTACTCTAAATCATTACAATCTCACATCATAATGTGTATAGGGCCTGGGCAAGTCCTTGATGTCACTCCAGAAAATATTGAGAAGTTTATGTTTGATCCATGTAAGATCTCGTCTGTATTTCATGATATTTTCATTGTATATTGAGACCATAGATTAATTTTGCCCTCGAAGTGAAGTTGAGTCATTGTTAGATGTATATATTGAATGGCAGAAAATGATTTTAAAACTGCTGTATTTTATACTTACTAAATCTCTGAGAAGATAAATATTTGGACAGTGGATTTTGGCATTCCTCGTTGTACTCTAGAGGACCTGCGAGGTGGTAGGAAGGAATACAATGCGGATGTGCTTATGTGTATTCTATCAGGGGAGAAAGGGCCCATTGCAGATGCACTTGTAAACCACTTCTTATCCTTCTGTCTCTTCCAATTTTTGGACTTGCAAGCCACATTATTTCTTTCTGTTGGATAATTAAAAGCGCTTTTAAATGTAATATAACAGCATTTATAAATGCTGAGATGATTCTGACACAGTAGCAACATTCTCAGATCCTTAATGCAGAAGCTGCGCTTCTAGTGAGTGGGTGTGATGTCACTTTCTGAAGGGGTAGCTTTGGCTCGTTAGACACAATTATCAGGGAAAGCTCTAAAGACGCTTAATGCATGGGTAGACATCTCAAATGTAAGTCAAACCATGTTTCCTCCGTTGTGCTTCACTACTGCACCTCATCTCTTCTTCAATGCAGAACGTTAAAGAAAAAACTACACTAGAATAAAGCTCTTGGAACTTTGGGTCGACGGAAGGTTTACATGCTGGAATTATTTTGAATAAAAAATTGGTATATCTTTTTTTTTTTCCTTCTACAAGGTATAAAGCCACCCGCCCTCAACTTTAAGAGGGACTTGATGGGATTGCTGTTCAGCTGGATCCACAAAGTTGTTTTCGTGAATATTTCTTCCAAACTCGAAACAGTTTCTTTGGATTCCAATGACATGAACTGTACTGATAATAAATTACCCAATTCTATAGGCGAAGACTTTATCAATGGCAGGGAGGCTGATTTTATTGAAGGCAGTTTTGGGTTCCCTTGCTATTTACTTCAAGTCCATGTTTAAGATTCCTTCATCGGTGACTATCAAGCTAAATTCCATCATGGCCAGATTTTTATGGGGAGGAGGAGTTGAGGCCAGAAAAATCCATTGGGTTAATTGGTCAAAAGTGTATTCTGGAAAAAGTGTTGGTGGTCTTGGTGCTTTGGACATTAGTTATATGAATAGAGCTCTTTTAGGGAGATGGTCTTGGAGGTTTGCTAATGATAAAGAGTCAGTGTGGAAGAAGGTTATATGCTGTAAATACAATATGGATCCAAGTTTTCTGATGTTTAACGAGAAACTTCCTACACATGCTTCTTGGATTTGGAAATCGGTGGTCCAGAACCATTTCAAGCAAGATTAGTTTGGAGCTAAGTTTCGAAGTAATTTTATTGTCTGAGTGGGGGATGGAGGGAGCATCAGATTTTGGCTTGATAGTTGGGCACATGATTCCCTCTTAAAGTGGTTTTTCCCAGAATGTTTGTCTTGTCTGTAAACAAGAATGGGAAGCTTATTGAGTTTGGGGAGTTTCGGTCAACAGTGTGGTCTTGGCATGTTCATATGAGAAGGAATTTGAGTGATTGAGAATTGTCTCAATATGCTGATTTAATGGCTTTAATCCATAATATCACTCTTTCTCAGGAGTTATCAGATGGGCTGGTTTGGTGTGGGAATGGGGAAGGACTCTATACTGTCAGTTCGTGTGTTAAGTCTTGTTGTCCTGCTGGTTCAGCAGATCCTTTTTGGAAGAAGTTCGTTTGGAGGGGATTAGTGCCTCCTAGAGTGGAGGTCTTTTTGTGGCAAGTGGTGTTGCAGAGACTGCAAGTTAAGATTGAGTTAAAGAGGAGAGGAGTCGCAACTATTGATGATGTTGCTTGCCCTTTGTGTGAAAAGGCGGATGAAACCTCATTACATTTATTTTTTTTCTTGCTTGGTGGCGTGGTCCTTATGGAATAAATTTATGAGCTTTTGGGGAGTTTCTTATGTTTTTCAAGTCAATGCTCAAAGTTTTATGGTTGCTTGGGATGAATTGGTTCCTAATTCTAAAATTTGGTCATTCATTACGGGGGTGGTGATATTGACTATTTGGAAATGTAGGAATGTTGTTGTGTTCGAGGGGGGCAGGGTAGATCAGATTGATTATTCTTTATGGCAAGATGCAGGTTGGTTGCTTGGTTGTTAGCTTATTACAAGGTTGTATCTATTTCTAAGGATTCTCTAATCGGTGACCTTTCACTTGGGGATTGTTGCTCTTTATCAAGCTCTCCTGTCATCGAAATTGTGTCTTGGTCTCACCCTCCAAAGGGCTTTATTAAGTTGAATGTTGATGCGACAGTGACTGCAGACTGGAGGAAGAGTGGTGTTGGGGGCATCCTAAGGGCTCATGATGGTTCGGTGTTGGGTTCCTTTCGAGAGGCTGTTGGTCCAGGTCCTCCTATTTTGATAGAACTCAAGGCTATTAAGAAAGGGTTATCCTTCTTTGCGTTGTTTCATCAGAGTCTTAAGGACATGTTAATTGTTGAATCAGACAGTAAATTAGCAGTGGAATGGGTCAAGAGTATTGACCGCTGTCCCTATGTGTACTTAGATATTGTGACAGCTATTGTCGATACGATTAGAGGTTTGAATGGTAGTATTTGATGGGTTGTTAGGTCAGTAAATGTTGAGGCTAATAGTTTAGCTAAGGCTGGTATTGGATAGATATGATGTTTTTGTTTGGTTGGTTAGTTTATCTGTTAGGCTTTGGGTTGATTTGGCAAGAGAAATTGTATGGTTGTTTTTAAGTTTTTGTAATTTGTGGTTATTAATGAAATATTTAGGAGCACCTTGTGATCCTTTAATCATGAAGAGGGTTTTAACGAGACCTTCAATTCCTATAAAAAAATTACCCAATTCTATAATAGCATTTGCAGTCTCAGAAATTCAAACATATTGCAAGAAGCACACAAACTGTTTTATCTATCGGCCATTGGAAAGTCTAGTAGGTCTCGGAAAGAAGAGTAATATTTGGCCTCTGCATAAAGGCTTGGTCTCAGGCATTGAGATTGACCGTAATGGCACCAGCATTTGCAAGGAGAGCCGCAAGCTGACCTGCTTGATGCTTGGCCACAACAGCTGCAACAAATAAAAAAGAAGTGGTATCATGCTCATGACTCTTTATTTTTCTCATTCCACAAAACCTATTATATACATCGAGAGAATGATGCTTCAATTTACATAGATTTGTAAATTTAGAATTAACCAGCAACCCCGATGATGAAGTAACAAGCAATGAATGAAAGGATTTGGCAAAGTGGGGCTTACAATCGCAGCCACCAATATGTGTCTCGCCAATGAACACATTAGGTACAGTGGTCTGCCCAGTCCACTCTATCAAAGCTGCTTGCATTTCACCACCATCACCTTCCGAAAACAAAAAAAATCAACACAAGTTAGTAATTAATTGCTGATTTTAAGAAGCTGAAACAGTTGCCTTACTTTCTTCATCCAACTCAATGGTTTTGTAAGAAGCCCCTAACTGAGTAAGCAGCTGCTTAACCCTATTGCAGTAAACACAATAGGTCTTACTGCAAAAACAAAGCCAGATGAGAATCAGGAATAGAAACCCCAAAATTTGATTGCGGAGAATTGTACCTGAAGACAACAACGGGCGTGGAGGAAACGATTTGCTTGACCTTGTCAAGTGCCATTTGAATATCTTCCTTGCTGAAGTTATTGGAACTCAGGAAAGAACCCATGGCCGTTTGTCTCTTCTCTCAGATGTTGGTGGGCGTGGCTGCTTTTGCCAGGAAATACCAGAAAGGATTATGGATGGTGCCTAATGGCTACTGGCTAAAACAAAAAAATTATACTTTGTTTCATCATAAACCTAATTCTAATCACAATTAACTAGACGCGGCGGGTTAGAAAATGACTATATGGGTCAAGTCGCTCGCACCGGATATTACAGAAATTGTACGTTAAATGATATTTATTCCCGAGTGAAAATTATTATTATTTTTGGAACGTTTAAAATGTTTTTTTTAGTAAAATACTTGGTTTTCTTTTTCCACAAAATATTATATTAAATAGTTAAACTAAATTATCAGTCACTTGATTACTCGAAATTAGCTATTCTAATCATGGATGCCGTGCAATGATGCTGGAGACGGGGCAGCAGTGCCAGAGATGGTGGGAGGAATGCTGCTGCACTTCAAGTCCTTGAGGAGATTCGAGCACAGTGGAGGTTGGATCAAAGCACTGCTGGAAGAGGCTGAGAATGAGCGTATGCACCTCATGACATTCATGGAGGTTTCCGACCCATAGATGGTACGAGCGCGCCCTTGTGTTTGCTGTCCAAGGTGTTTTCTGCAATGCTTACTTCTTGGGCCACATTATTTCACCTAGATTCGCCCATCGAGTGGTGGGCTACCTTGAGGAGGAAGCAATTCACTCTTACACGTTACACCGAGTTCCTCAAGGAGTTGGACAATGGTAACATGCAAAACGTCCCTGCTCCACCCATTGCTATTGATTATTGGCGTTTGCCCCCAAACTCCACTCTGCGAGATGTTTTGGCTGTGCGGGCAGATGAGGCACATCACCGTGATGTTAACCACTTCGCTTCTGATTTACTTTATCAGGGACGCCAGCTGAAGGAAGCTCCTGTTCCCCTCGGTTATCACTGAAAGCCGCCATTGCCCTTTATTCCTTTTTGTTCAGAGTCATAATATCAGTGCAACTTCTTTTATTAATTTAAGATGGGTAAATCAATAAGAACAACTATTTTGTATGTAAACAGCAAAATTTCTTAATTTTTCATGAAGTGTGCGTTTTTTAGGTTCAAATTTACCACTTGACTGTTATCTTCTTAAAAATTATGCAGTAGTTAACATGAATAGATGTTTTGGAGGACCTTTGTCATGGATAAACTTAAGTTAACCTATGATATTCATATCTAGAATAAAATAAAATCACTACAAGTAAGCATTGAAGAATGGGTAGTCTGAGCTATACATTCAAGTAGTGAAGTCAAGTCTTGGTACATTTTTGGGTTTTGGGGATGAATAAGCATAATTTGGACGTAAAAATGGCTACTTTGTACAGTCCTTTTGATTTTGACTTCGGCTTGAAATCTGAATGGGAATCTACAGATGAGCTCCCACTCCTTTTTGTACCCAACCCCAAAGCCCGCTCTATTTGGTTCGGCTGCTCGAAGGATCAGTTGGAGCATTGCTTCTATCTTTACTAAAGCTAGCCTTCGCCATTTCCCTTAGTTGCTTCGGCCATGGTTTCTCCAATGTCTCAGAAGTGCTCTTGTTGCTATCACCAGGAAAACTTGTCGTTTCCATGCATCGAAATACTGGGAATTTGCTTTCAAAGCTTTTCATCAGTTTCAGAGGGATGAAATATAGGAGAAATCCAATTGAAGCTATTTTTAAACCTGAGAAGAAAGAGTTCTCAAAAGTGTCTAGTTGCTTTGTTTGTTCATACAAAGCATACCCTTCACCGACCATTTGCACCATGAACCCTACTAGGAATAATATAAGCATGAAGATCCCGATTGTAATCGAAGATTCCTTCTCCAATAGTACAAGACAAGTAGCAAACATGCCCACTTCACAGAAAAGAGAGATAATTTCAACCAACTGTACCCTTTTCTTGATGAAAGGCTTCTTAAGAACAAGGAAGAATAGCTGAAAAGAGGTTATGCATAGCAAGACAGTTATTGGAGTCTTAGACGCACGGTTATCCAAGTAGGCACCTACCAAAACTCCCAGTGTAACTCTTTTCGCAGATTCTAACAGGGTATACTGGTATAGTATATTCTGAGTATTCCGAACAACTTTTGAATAAAAGGAATCCTCCGTTTCATCATCTGAAGCAATGATACGTTCACCTTGCCTGTTGCTGCTGAGACTGCTACCAGATATTTGTGAAACCATATATTTTGGAGGACCTCTTAAATCTTTGAATAGAGGGCCTAACATGGTTTGATAAATAGAGGTGGCTTCATTTTTCCAAGTACACTGCCCTCTTTTACCTGGACCAAGAGTAACTCGGATGAGCTCTTGGTACCAATGAAATTGCTGGCCTTCTTGGTGGACTTCCTTGTACAGAAGCAGCTTTCCAAATGTAATTCCGACTGACAGGAACAAAAATAACGGCAGCAGAACGAAAGCCAAGCACCCAGCAGCAGAATGCCAACTACAACTCCTGATGGTGTTCCTCCTTTAATCATAAAAGTTAACAAAATGAGTGAGTGAGCAACCTACCAATATGTAAATATGTCATCAATTCAATTTAGAATCAGTGCATATCAGTGCTGCTTCCTACAGTATTCGATATTAGGAAACAAGGATTTCTAGATACAAGATTCTCCAGGTCAGTATCAATGGAAAATAGTTCTTTCTCTAGATAGAGTGCCAAAATGCAGAAAGGTGAAATAGACACTATTACTGACACTTGAGTCGACATGCAGTAAAGGATACGAAACGAATAACAAATAAAAAGCTATGTAGCAGTTGAGGGGAAGTTTTTCATTATGAACCATGAATTCTTTAGGGAAGTTTTTAATTGTATAAGATACTTGCAACTAGAGCAGCGGAGGCCTGGCAGATACAAGGTAGTGCAAGAATTAAAAGAAATATCTCGAATCTAGGAAATATGTTAGGATTTTCGGAAGCTCGAATCGACAACCGGAACGGTTTGCAAAGAGGAGTCGGAATGGTTTTGTGTTTAGGGAGTAAGGAGATTGAAAGATAGAGAATTGCACAGCGATTTATAGTGGTTCGACTTTCTCAATCAAAGTCTACGCCCACTACCTTAGCTCCTCACCAAGATTTTCCAACAAATTCACTAATTTGTTATTTCTTTTGAGAATGAAGAGTAATCTTACAAACTCTCTAGTTTTTCCGGGCTAAACTATAACATTTCCCTAGCTTTTACACGGGATTAGCTAGAACCTTTCCCCTTTACAAAAGGATAAAAAATGTAAACAAGAAAACCTCTCTAAGGTAGGTGTTTACAAGATTGAGCTCACAAGAACAAAATATATACAAGAGAAAGATGAAATAAGAATGAAAAACTCTTCTATTGTGCTTTATTGCTTGGATAGTTGTTCTTTTTCTTCTTCAAGTGTCCTTAGCTTGTATTTATAGCTTGGAATGTGTTTGAAGTCGTATATAGTCGTTGAGATGTTTTGGAGCCGTTTGGGGATGATAAATAATTAATAAAACAATTTGGAGCGTGGGGGAATCGGTACCCCTCATGGGGAATCGGTTCCCTAAGTGCAATATGTTTTTGACCATTAGACAGGGGGAATCGGTACCCCTGGGGGAATCTGTTTCCCCTGGGGGAATCTGTACCCCTGGACAATCTGATTTTTCTTGAAACCCTTAAAAAAAAAATATTTTTGGCTCGATTAAGGCTCAAAATACTTTGTAAAATTGTTTTAAAATAGTTTAAGTATAAAACACAATTTTACACTTTAGTAAGGATTAAAATGAATTTTGAAAGACTTGGAGTAATATTTTGATATTCGAATAATTATATCGAATATACTTAGAAAATCATTTACAAAATCTTAAAATTCATTTGTTATATCGAAACATCAAAATATTTTCAACAAAATATGAGTGCCCCATAACTCCTCTTCTTTTCGGAATCTCTCTTCTTGTACTTGAGAATGAGAAATAGAACAGCATGTAACAGTATCAAACTGCCTCCAATTACGACTAACCAGAACAAGCTTCTATCAAAATTCCTCCACCTGCTCAGATGGGATAAAGAGGATAAATGATCAACATATTTTGTTAGTACTTTAATGAAGGGAGAAGGAAAAAGAATCTTCCTAAACCACCTAACGAGAAGGAAAGGCAAGGCAGGGCATGGATTGTTTTAAGTGCATGTATCCATAATTGGCCATTGCTATCAGGATCGGCAAAATGGCACTTTTGAATCGAGAGTGAAATTCTATAATCTTTCTTAAACATGTGTTCTGACCTTGAAGTTTCAATTTTACAGTTTGTCTAATTTTTTGTAGCTATTGACAGTCAAGTAGAATATTCTAAACTTTGTTCATTTGAAAAGATCCATTTACAAATGAAGAATTTGTTGAACACACAACAGACAGTATGCTAACAACTTACCCATTTGAATGCAGCCTATCCGAAATATATTCTGCTTCGGGTATAATGCTTTGGCTCTGCCCAAATAAACACACCTGTTATTTGAAGGCATTTCTTGTAACCTATGATATTTTATAATGAGAAAAATACGAAGTGATTTCTGACCTCAAAAAACGATCTATATTCAATTGGAGTAAGTGGTGAACCGTATACTGCAGCTGCTATTTTGAAGTCATCTTTTTTTGGTTGAAAACTATGGGAGATTTCCCTATCATATGCTTGGGAAAGGAAAGAATTTGAAGTTCCGCTGGGGCTTGCACCCATCATGACTGGCTGAACATGCCCAGTTTCCCATGGGAGACTAAAATAAGGAATGCTTCGCTCTAAACTCCTTGCAAATTCATAATACTCTACCGGCAATTTTACTGGTAACCACCTAATCAGTGCAAAAACCTGAATGTGGCATGCACTTCTCTGTAGAAAAGAAAAACACAAGGATTGAATTGTTTGTCACTTTTTGTCTTACGTACTGTTGACTTGATAATTACAAGAAAGAATCGATATTCTACCCCACAATCTATATATGAAATTGTTTGTCGGTCTAGGACTTATGAAGCTTAATATATTAACAAATGACTGGTCAAAAACAGTGGGAAGTGTTTTGTCTGCATGAAATCTTACGTATTGTCAAGGAGGTACATTTGTTCCTTCTAGTATGGC